TATAAAAAAACGAACCGACAGGAAGTAGGTCTCTTTTCGCGAAGCTGGGACAGCAGGAGGAAGGGTGAGATTTTAGCTCTGAGCTCTGACTTCTCGGCTCTCTCTTTTACATTGTTTCTGTGTTTCTTATTTAATAAGACGGTTGGTTACATCTACAGCAGGTAACTGTAGTTCAGTTCCTAGCACCCACATCCACTGGCTCACAACTCTGTAACTCCATTTCCAGGGGATCTGACACACTCTTATTGCCTCTGTGGATACTGCACACACAAACAAGTAGACATTTAAACACAAAGATAGCAATAAAATTTTTTAAAACTATTGAGGAACTTAAGCTCTGTAATTAGCAAAGGAAGGTGTGGAATATCCCTTTACACTGTGTGAATATATGTCACTGTGATTGGTTTAACAAAGAAGCTGACTGGACTATAGCTAAGCAGGATAAGGTTAGGTGGGAAAATCAGACTAAGAGAATGCTGGGAGGAAGAAGGAGGAGTCTCAGAATCGCCAGGCAGACTTAGAAGAAGCAACATGAAAAGTACATAGATAAGGTAAATGAGCCTCAGGGCAGCACATAGACTAATAGAAATAGGTTAATTTAAGTTATAAAATCTAGTTAAACACAAGTCTTAGCTATCAACCGAGCATTTATAATTAATATTTGTCTGTGTGGTTTTTTGGGAACTGATGGGACAGAAAAGTCTGCCTATAGGAAGGTAGAAAATATAATCAGCCAGGGTGTACCTATACCCAGCTAAGCTCATTCTTTTTTTAAGACAAAGTCTCACTATGCAGTCTTGACTGACATAGAACACACTATGTATACCAGGCTGGCCTCAAACTCATAGAGATTTACTTGTCTCTGCCTTCCAAGTACTGGGATTAGAAATGTGCACCACCACATCTGGTGTAAGCTCAATTCTTACTGAAGAAAGGAAGACTGGATTTGGGGTCTGGGTGTCTGATATACTAATATGTAAGGCATATAGGGTCGGTAGAAGCACAGGTGAGCTCAGTGTTTTGAAAGGGATTATGACAATACTTAACAAGAATCACAATAATGTACAAGTTCTTTGACTTAAAGAAAACTTATTCTAAGAAAATATATGCATGAAGATCTGGCTATAAGGGTGTTCATTGTAAATAGCAGAAAAACTGAAATCCATCTAAAGGAAGTATCTCATTGATTACTATAGATAAGAGTTGTTGTGGGATATCTGTACACTGTATGAAAATGTATTGCTGTGATTGGTGTAATAAAAAGCTGAATGGACAATAGCCAGGCAGGAGGTATAGGCAGGACTTCCAGGCAGAGAGAGAGGAAGTAGGAAATGAATCTAGGTGCACATCAGATGCCAAGAAGACATGGAGGGAGTCAGACATACAGAATGAATGGTAAGAAGCCACGAGGCAAAACAGATTAATATTAATGGGTTAATTTAAGTTATAAGAGCTAGTGGAACAAGCCTAAGCTAAGGTCAGGATCTCATAATTAGTAAGAAGTCTCTGTGTCATTATTTGGGAGCTGGCAGCCCACAGAAAATTCCATTTCAAAGAGCCTTATATTTGTCCTTAGATACTGAATGGCAATATCACTGCTAATTAATCAAGCACTGTAATCCCTAAGTATTTGTAGTTGCATATCCATGTTTTATCTATAACCATAAGATAATGTGTGTGTGTGTGTGTGTGTGTTTCCCAGATCTAGAGTTCTGACATACATTATTTAATCAGTTCTGCAAAGTATATATCAATATATAAATGAATGGAGGCTTAGGGAGCTTAAGAAACTAGTTGAAAAAAAATCAAATGGTGAGGGCAGAGAGATGTCTTAGTGATTAAGAGCATTGTTGCTCTTGCAGAGAACACAGGTTCACTTCCCAGCTCTTACACGTTAGCTCACAACCATCTGAAGCTACAGTTCCAGAGTATCCAACCTCCCTTCTTCCGACCTCCATGGGCACCAGACATGCATATGGTGCACATACAGACATGCAAGCAAACACTCATATACATAAGGCAGAGGCAGGTGGATCTTTATGACTTCAAGGCCAGCCTAGTCTAGATAGTGCATTCCAGGACAGCCAAGGCTACATGGTGAAACCTTGTGTCAAAACAATAACAACAACAAAATTTAAATTAAACAGTGACTAAATAATGTGATTTTATTTTGAAATAAATTCAGTATTGTCTACCTCATCTCACATTTCATTTATCTTTTCTCTTTTGTCTTACCTAGAAAATTTGGGTAGAGCATATCACTTAGAGAAAATAGTACACACATCCCAGGATGACTCCAGAGGACAACTGACTTCTCAGAGGCCCTTTGAGAACAGTATCTTGCCATCTCCTGAGGATTCAGCAAGGTTTTTATTTATTAACAGTAGAAACCAACTTGAGCTATTTTAAGTTAAAAGGGGGAACTATATGAGAGAAACCTCATTTTTCCTCATTCAGTTTTCTCCTTAGCATCTGGCTTTCTTGGTTGTTCAAACTACAGGCAGCTGAACTAGGACATTACAACTTCAGTTTCTACTGTAATATAGTTCCAGTTACATAAAAAGACTGAAGTCTCTCTGCTTCTATCCCTGCTTCCAAGTTCCTTGGGAAGACCATTCAGTTTGGGTCAGTAGGCTACCCCAGTCTAGTCATTGGCTAGAGTGGAGCCGGAGAATGTCATGCACAATTCTGCCATAGGTGAGAGGACCAGTAAAAAGTTATCAGGATGCCCCTCAACCAAAGAATGTACTGTGGGATGGGTACACTGTGAATACATGCTGTTCCCATTGGTTAATAAATAAAGCTGCATTGGCCTATGGCAAGGGCAGGATGGAGCCAGGTGGGAAAATCCAAGAGAAATAATGAAAGGAGAAAGGAGAGTGGGGGTGGAGGGAGACGACAAACTACCGTCCAAGGAGCAACATGTAATGGAATTCAGGTAAAGCCATGGAACATGTGGTGCTACATAGATAAATAAAAATGGGTTAATTTAAGATGAAAGAACTAGCTAGAAAGAAGCCTGCCATAGGCCATACAGTTGGTAATTAATATAAGCCTCTGAGTGATTGTTTTATAAGCAGCTACAGGACCAGGTGGGATGGATCAGAGAAACTTCTGCTACAAGAATGCATAAAGAAAATGTGGCATATTTACACAATGCAGTATTACTCAGCTGTTAAAAACAATGACATCAGAGAATTTGAGGGCAAATGGATGGAACTAGAAACAGTCATCCTGAGTGAGGTAACCTAGACCCAAAAAGATAAACATGGTATGTACTTACTCATAAGTGGATATTAACTATAAAGTAAAGGATAACCATGCTACAATCCAAACCCAGAGAGACTAAGTAACAAGGAAGGCACAAGCAGGGACACATGGATCTCTCTGGGAAGGGGAAATAGAAGAGATCTCCTGGGTAGACTAAGGGAGGGTAGGGATGGGAACATGAGGGATTGGGTTGGGGGGTGGGGGTGGTGGAGAGTACTGAAAGAGAAGTCTTGATATGGGGGGCATTTTCAGGTCAGATAGAAACCAGGTGCAAGGGAAGCTCCCACAAATCTACAAGGATAACCCCAGCTAAGACTCCTAGTAATAATGGATAGGTAGCCTGAACTGACCATCTCCTGTAATCAGATTGGTGACTACCCACCCCAATTGTCATCAGATAGCTTTCATCCAGATAGAAACAAATGCAGAGACACACAACCAAGCACTGGGCTGAGCTCAAAGGATCCTGATGAAGAGAGGGAGGAAGGATTGTACAAGCCAGGGGGGTCAAGATCATTACAAGAGAACCCACAGAAACAAATAACCTGGGCTTATAGGAGGTTATAGTCTGGACTGACAGCTAGGGAGCCTACATGGGATTGACCTAGGCCCTCTACATATGTGTGACAGTTGGGTAGCTTGCTGTATTGTGGGACTCCTAGAAGTGGGAGCAGGGTTGTCCCTTAATGCTTTGGCTGGCTTTGGGGAACCTATTCCTCATACTAAATTGCCTTGACCAGTCTTAATACAAGGGGAGGAGCTTAGTCCTACCTCAACTTGATATGCCATGTGTTGTTGATACCCAAGGGAGGCCTGCCCTTTTTTGAACAGAAACAGAGGAGGAATAAACTGGGGGGAGGAGCATGGAGTAGAAGGGGGAGAGGGAATGGGAAGAGAGGAGGGAGGGGAAACTACAGTCAGGATGTAAAATAAATGAATAAATTTAATTTAAAAAAGTGTATCAGGAGCCATCAAAAGGTTCCAAAAATGTGTCTGAAAAATATTTCTCTGGTGGCCTAGCACCAAGTCAGTTCTCATCTCCTTTCTTGCTTGTAGTTCTCAAAAATAAGCTTGGAATATTATAGAAGACAATACAGGGATGAAACTACCCAAGAATGGAATGTAGCATCTTACGTCAGATAAGCACTGCCCAGACAAAACAGACCTTTGTTCTCTCCTCTGGGAGCAAGATGTCCTTTAAAGTTTTGATATGGGTTCCTAAGTAGCTTAATTACAGGGGGTATGCTTGGTATAAATAAGGTCCTGGGTCCCAGCACCAAAACCCAAACTGAACCAATGAACCAAACAAATAAACACCCTTGCCTAGTGATTCATGATGTGCCTAGGGTATACACTTTGGGTAGGCTGTCTTTTCCAGTTCTTTAGCTGTGGAGCCAGTGGTACATGGTCTGTCAATAATCTACCCAAATGTTGTGTAAAGTTTCCTCCAGTAGTGAAACATTCCATCCATCAGGGAAACTCCCTTTGATAGCTATTCTTTGTATCGACTTGACTATATCTGGAATTAACTTAAACCCAAGCAGCTGGGTACACTTCTGAGGGGATTTTTCTTAATTAAATTATTTAAAGTGGGAAGACCCACCCTAAATCCAGATCTTTTGAGGTGAGATCTACCTTAAATCTGAGCTCTGCCTTCTGTTGGCAGCCTATATCTTTTGCCTGTGTGTCCTTTGTTCTGTCAAGTTCATTCCTTCACTAGCATAGGAGCCTACTTCTTCAGGATTCCAGAGGATTACATTTTTTTTTTTAAGATTACATTCTTAATGCTAACCATCAAGGCCTATTCCTTTATTTGGCTACTTCCTCCTCCTGAGGCTGACTACTAAAGTCCAGCTATCAAAGTATTAAAGTCTAGTGTGGTGGTATTCTAATTGTGCTGAAATGTGATTTTGATTGTATGTTAATAAATAAAGTTGCTCGGGGGTCAGAGCTATTAGCGCCATAGACAGAGTGTGGCAGTAGTGGCACACGCCTTTAATCCCATAGATCTCTGTGTGTTCAGGGATACAGCCAGCATTGGAGACATATGCCTTTAAGACCTGGGGGGCTGTACATACAGACAGTGACGAGGCAGTCACGTGTTTGGGTTTCCAACCAATGAGAAGGCAGAATGGCTATGAAACGACTTACACACAGGGAAATAGCTCTCTTTTGGGAAGCTGGAACCACCGCAGGAAGAAGGGTGAGATTTTAGCTCTGAGCTTTGATCTCTTGGCTTTCTCTTTTACATTGGTTCTGTGTTTCTTATTTAATAAGACGGTTGGTTACATCTACAGTCTAGCAATCAAAAGCTGCCATTTGGCTACCCTAATTAACATGCCCAATCAAAATTAAACACCTCATCCTAACATGGGGTTTCCCCTTTTACCTTTATAAGCTGCCATTTGCCTATGGGTCACATCTTCCCTCTCTATCCATAGGTAGTCCTTTGTCCCTTCAGGACAAATACCCCTTCCTCCTGTCCCTTGTCCTCTATCTTCTGCCCTTTGTCCCTCTGGGACAAATAAATATCTGTTGTGCTGAGAACTTGGTTTTGGGGTGTCTTGTGCTTATACTGGTCCTTTCACTGGAGACCAGGTAAGACATCCTGCCTCATGGACTGAACAACTCCTGGATTCTTGGAACTTCTGTTGGTAGATAGCCATTGTTGAACTAACTGAACTGTTAAGATCAATCTATTTGAGTCTATTTAATGGTAAATAAGGATTTATTAAGATATGAATTGAATACAGAACTGAATAAAAAGCTGTTCTGACCAGGAGCAAGTCCACCTGGTGATTCAGTCAGACCAGGAAGCAGGCAGCAGGGAGAAGAGGTCACAAAAAATGGCAAAAAGTACCACCACCTTCTGGCCCTGTAGCCCAAGGTCATGGGTGGAGCAAATATCACTACATTTTCCCTTTTTGTCTAAATAAGAAAGTTCTAAATTTAATACAAACTATATACAATAAGAATGATTATCAGGCCAGTGGTGGTGGCACACGCCTTTAATCCCAGCACTTGGGAGGCAGAGGCAGGCGATCTCTGTGAGTTCCAGGCCTACAGAGGTCTACAGAGCAAGATCCAGGAAAGGCACCAAAACTACACAGAGAAACCTTATCTTGAAAAAAACAAAAAAAAAAAAAGAAAGAAAAGAAAAAAAGGATTATCAAGTATTGTCCAGGAAAAACAGGGTAATAACATAAACAAAAATGGAACTACAGAAATGTCCAGATCATAGGTAAATGGAAAATTACTGAGATTACTACAATAGCTGTCCTATCCTGAAGATTCTAACTCTGGTACTTAATATGTCCTAGCTAAGATATAAGAAGATTATAAGTTGAAAGAGCTAGCTAATATAAGCTGAAGCCATAGGCCATACAGTTTGTAATTAATACAAGCCTATGAGTGATTATTTTATAAGTGGCTGCGGGACAGCAAGTGGGGGAGATTTGTCCCGATCACAGGGCCGGGTGGGACACAGAGAAACTTTCCTCTACACTGGACCATAGCCTGTAAGCAATTATAATATATATATATATATATATATATATATATATATATATATATATATCAGTCTGCCTTCTAGAGGACCTAATACAAATTTGGGTACCAGAAGTGGTTCTAAAGGATGGATTTTTTTAAGTATATGCAATAGGCTTTCCAGTTTGCTGACACCTAGTTACTGAAACCTTTCCTAGAAGCTCTGAGTGCACTAAAAACCCATAGTCTGAACTATTTCACAAACTTAGCAAGATGAATGTGATTCTACAATTGTGAGAGGCAAGGAATTTAGTGACTCTGTATATAAAACTTTTGACAATTTGTGGGGAAAAAAGGAAAATAATGATGTTGGTTGGTTGCTCCTAGCATCTCTGGATAAATTGACAAAAGAAAAGAATGAGCTCTGTGATAAAATTAACCAGTTTCTAGCATCTCAGGACATAGTGATGATGAAG